TTGGTTGGGGTTCTAGACATGCACAAGACTAAAACAAACTACAAGACCACCAGCAAAACATTTGGTGAGGTGGTGATCACTGTTTTTTTAGGATTATTAGAAAATGTTAGAAATATAAAATGACCATCAATCTCCAGACCATCGTTGGGTCTGGAATGATCATGAGAAATGTGCAACTTCAACGCAAAACTACACTGAAGGAGCTTGTTGATGATCTAACGGAAGTCGGGTCTCCAGTCACCAAGAACACTGCTGGTAACACACTTTGCTGTAACAGACTGCAGCACCTGCGAGGGCCCTGCTCAAGAAGGTACGTGTACAGACCCATTTAAAGTTTGCCAGTTAACCTTTAAATGATTCAGAGAAGGTTTGGGACAAAGTGCTGTGGTCAGATGAAATCGGGCGCTTTGGCATCAACTGTGTTTGGAGGCAAAGAAATACTGAGTGTGACCCAAAGAACAACATCCCCACCATCAAGCATGGAGGTGGAACCATTATGTTCTGGGGCTGTTTTCCTGCTAAGGGGACAGGATGGCTTCACTGTCCCATGTACTGTAAAGTACCAGAACTTCCAAAACAGTAAGAACAGTGAAGCGATGGGTCTCCAGCATGACGATGACAAGAGTCAAAGTGGAAAGACAATATGTGGAGGGGCTAAAGCTTTGAGGTGCTGAGCAGCAGCCCATAAGCCCAAAGGATTTAGTTTCTGTAGAGACAAGTGGACCAAAACCTGTCTGCATAGAGAATGCTTCTGATAACAGGTTTAACTCTTTGCTCCTGCAGCTTTTCCTCCTGACAGCAATAAATGAAGCTGATACTCGAGGCTAAAGCGTGTGCTGTGTGTGCTGTGTGTGCTGTGTGTGCTGTGTGTGCTGTGTGTGCTGTGTGTGCTGTGGCTAATTACAGATTTATTTGTTGCTGCTGCTACAAATGGATCAAAGAATGACTTCATCCGCTCACAATAGCAAGCTCGTCAGAGTCAGGCTGTTGCCTAAAGAAATGGGATCATGCAGCGCTAACGGGAACAAAAACAACAGTTAAACCCAGCTGTTGAGGTTCTTGTCATAAACGCATACTCTGTTGTGCTACAAGAAGTGTGTTATTGCATATATAGAGGCGCCTTCCGTACCTTTGCTTTGAAAAACAAAAACAACCCGTCGTTTACACGCTGAGAGCGGCGAAAACACGTCGCGCACTGAAGGACAACAGGCCTCCTCACGGCCCTGACCCAACAGATCCCTCAGCAGCGGAATCCGCCGTCAGAACCAGGCGCGACCCCGCCGCCTGCTCGTAACCCAACAAGGGAAGCAGCACCTCTTAAACGTTTGCTTCTTACGGCTCCCGTTTATAAATCATGCTCCAACCTCGTTCTGTCTGCTGCTCGGTGAGGTTTCCGATGTAAAAGATCGACTTTGCCCGGACCGCTTCAAATCCCATCTCCTCGTTTCCTCGCATCCCTGCTCTTCATCCTTAGTTGGTACATACGCCAACTACGCTGCGTGATCGAAAACAAACAGTACTCCGAACATGGAGCTGTGCTCCTGCTCAGGAACTTTTGTTTGTAACCAAACCAGTTCTTCCTGTGGGGAACCATGCAGCCCGTTCAGCGTCGAAATCACTGATTTGACTGACACCTCCCACCTCCATGCCCTCCTTGCGCCAAACGTGCCAAACATGAGGGTCGGGGACCTTCAGGGGTCGCTTAGAAGTATTTCAATTACAGGAGGAGAATTACTGTGTTAATCACAGAATTCAGTATGCTGTTTATATTTTTTTAAATGAAAAGTTGAGAATGTGAAAGGCATTGATATGAGGGGGGGACAAGGTCTGAATTAATAAAGAAGAACTGCTTGAAGAAGGAAAATATACTAACAAAGGCTGAAACAAAAGCAAAAACATCCAGCATGCCGTAGCAGCGCTATAGCTCGTAACCATGTAACAGGTAAATGTGTGCCTGAAGAGTAGCGACAGCACCCGGTCAGGATGACACTGTCACATTTCAAAAGCTATTTTTTTAAAAGAAAAAAAAGCATAAAGATGTCTTTTGCTAAGCTATGTTGCTGTATAGCTACAGCAGGGCTGTCAAACTCAAATACACAGTGGGCCAAAATTCAGAACTGGATCAAAGTCGCGGGCTAACGTTAATATTCATTGAAAAAAACTTCCTCTAAATATAACAAGGAATCTTTTCTTATGGACTCAAACAAGTTTTGCTGAAAAACTGAGTATGGAAGAAGCAAAGCTTAATAAATGTATATATAACTTAATATTGCACACATGCAGAATCAAAGTTCCAATTAAATAACACATCAGTGGAATTTCTTAAATAAAAACTGTATTTGCAGCCTTCTGAATTAAATGTTATCATTCATCATATTTTCATCATATTCTCCCACCTGCTCCTGTTTTTATTCTTTTAGCCATTTTGGGTTCGGTAGCATGGCAGTATTTGCATGGTTGCTATGACTATGGTCAACAGAGGAGAGGGTGCTAATGAGTCCTGTCGTGACTGGCGGGCCAAAACACCAACAGAGCATTCTGGGAATTGTAGTATTAGCAGTACATGCACTGTATAATAATGGCAGGCCAGCTCTAATAGTAATTTTGTATGGCTTCGTGGGCCAAATGTAATTAGGCTGTGAGCCAAATTTGGCCCGCGGGCCAGAGTTTGACACCTATGAGCTACAGCTAACTGCCACATCTAGCATAGCAACATATACAACACTGAAAGTGAAGTTGCTGAGGTTAATATTTTTCCTTCTTCCAGTTACTACTCAAGCCGTGCATTGTTGGCTTTGGGACCTCAGCCACATGTTTCTCCCAAGCTGGAAAGTAAAGTGCTTCCATTCACGACCAGTTTATACGTATCACCTAGTAAGGACATTTGTGTTTGATCGATTTGTTGTAGCAGTGGTTCTTATTAAGAATTATAACAATAATCAATAAATGCAATAAATTGATAAATCTGAAAGCCTTTTTTTGTTTTTGTGGGTTTTTTATTTTTGTCCACCTTTAAATAGTGTGACATTTGTAAAGAAATATGTGGGTTGTGCCCATGAAAAACATTAAAAATCTTCTCTGCCAGTGCCAAACACCTTTCTGCTTTTATCTTCTATTAACTCCTGTCTGCAGTCCTGACTGAATACTTGCAGGATCAGCTTAGGCCACAGGTGTCGAACTGCAGATGCTTTCTAGCATTACTAATGGTTTTCATCACACTTATTTGTGTTCAAAGTCTCCTTTCTCAGAAGTTTGATTCTAATTTCTCGCTTGATGCTGTAAAATTGGGTTACAGCGCTTTAACTGCAGCTGCAGCAGTCACGCAGAAACTTGAATGCAGTGTCGTATTGTAACAATGCAAGTCGAGCAGGTACGTTATATAACTTTAAGTATTAAAGATAAATATATAAAAGATTTAAAAAAAATACAAAATTGAAAAAAAGAAAAGGAAAGAAAAAAAAGATGCAGAGCGATTTTAAAAATAAAAAAATTTAATTTTGGTGTTCTAAACCAATTCCAAATCTTCAAGGATATAATGCCTTTTAACCTGATTAGGCGGAAAAAATCTTTGACTAAAGTCATTCTAATAAATTTGGAGATTTTTCGGTCACTAAAGTCAATATATTGAATGCTGAGTTTGCTCAAACTAGGGACAGTGCAGCAGATCTTCTCTAACCGTTTTAGAGGAACTGGCATTGCTTTTATCACCGTGTATATTTTAGGATTACAGTGAAGACTGAATCTCAAACCAAGTTCTTCACACAGTAACACATCACAAATATGATTCATGAAATGTGATATTTCCCAAAAACCTTTGGAAAACTCCCTTTTCATTCAAATTTTCTATTAATAATAACACATCTATAGTCCATACTGGTCTGTTATGTGAACTTCTGTTTATGAATCTCAGTAGAGAAGAGCCTGTTGATCAAACTGACTGCTTGTTATTAAGAAAAGATTTAAACAGTTTTAGCTTTAAAGCAACATTCATGACACCAAAATCAATCACATTTCCCTCTTTATAAATGTGTGTGTCTGTACATACATGTATATATATTATTTTTAACGAGGTCCAAGTTGTGTGCGTGGGAGTTCGAAGCAGCCACTCCACCTAATGTCACTACTGTGCAGGATCCAAAAGCACAACGTGACAGCGCCTAAAGGGAAACAAGTCCAATTTAAAATCTTGAATAAAATTTACCCGACAAATAGACTCCTTGGTGATAGATTCAAAATAGAAACTGGTAAGTGTGTATTTTGTGAAACAGAAGAGGAGGATTTGGACCATCTATTCTTTTTGTGCAATTTTATACAAATATTTTGGTTGGATTTTCATACCTGGCTTTATTCCAGTGGGATTCAAATTACCCCATTTACCTTAAATATGATATTGTTTGGAGTGTTTTTGAAAGAAAAGAAAGCTAATTATGGTGTTAATGTGTTATTAATCTTGTGCAAGCAATTTAAACATAAATGTCGTTTTTTAAGACTAAACCAACACTAGCTCACTGGAAAAACGACTTAAACCTGTTGGTTAAATCTTTGACCTTAGTTAAAAAGAAAAAGGCTGCTTTTTTGTTTCCTTTTTGGAAGATTTTGATTTAGTGAGTTAATAATCTGTATATTTTCTTTTTCGCATGTATGGAAGTTGCTAATATGTAAGGAATGTTTATTCTCTCAATCTGTAATATATGGTGCATTTTGTTTGTATGTTAATATTACTAAAAAAATAATTAAAATAAAAAATAATAAAATAAAATAAATAAAAAACAACAACGTGACAGCCCCACACAAACGGGAAATGTTTCGTTTTCTACAATGGGACGGAGTGCAGCCACATCAGGGAACACAAATACTGACAAATCATCTGACCACAAAGAAACAGAAACAATTATTTTAGATTAATAATACTGAACATTTGTGTTTTGTATTTTAAGCATAACTGCAATTCAGAAACAAAAGAAAAGAAACATAATTTAAAATGAATTATTTAATTATCCTCCCCATGACAAAGCTGCACTTGGTATGGCCCAATCAGCACTTCCTGTGCTGTTATTTTGAGAGCGCTAACCCGGAAGTTTTTGAAGGATCACGTGGTTGCCGTTTCACGTTAGTTAATGTCTGAGTTTAGAGTGCTAGCGGACGTCACGTATCGGATGTGCAGCGTCGTACACATGATTTATGTGTCCGTAAACTGAAGTGACAGCTTGTTTGAAGTGGCGGGAAACATGTCTGGGTTCAGTCATGAGCTCATAGATTACCTCGAGGGTAGAATAACTTTTGAAGAGTTCGACAGAAGGAGAGACGAGCGGAAAGCCAAGGTAAGCTATGTTGTTAGTTCAGTAACTGTTAGCTGTCTAGCTGAGGCAGCATCACTCCTCAGCATCACTTGGACTTGTGTGACATAAAATTATATACTTCCTTCATTCTGACCTCTCAGTCAGGGCAGGTAGCTGAAGATGTGGAAGACGCTGAGCTCCCGTCGACGTCCGGACTCATCTCAACGAAGATCGGTAATCTCTCTCTGTCAGTGGCTCTGGAAATGTAAATAATGGACCCTTCTTTCAATAGATAGCGACACTGAATCCCATGAGCGAGTGTGTTGTAATTGTCATGGTTTTAGGAATATAACAAAGTTTTAAAAATAACTGGAACAACAAAACTGGATGAACATATTCACCAAATGTAAATTCCAACCTGCCATCATCTTTCCTCTAATGGAAAAACTAATAGATTTCAGTTCTGGACTATTTAGCCTTTATCATGCTTCTTGAACAGGTCAGAATTTCTCTTAATGGAACTCTTGTGATTTTCCTACTTTGACAAGTTAAAATGTCTGAAACTGCCTTTTATTTGATATCAACATCAATAAAAATGACAGATAATAACTACTGTTCTTAAGGGTCCACAAAGTACTGAGTGTTGCTCATAAAGCTATTGTTTTGGTCAGAGACTGCTTATAAAAACTGGGTCAGCTTACTTTGGTTCCCATCCTGGATTGCATGCAAAGTATGGTAATGTTACTCAAGCCAGCTTTCCTGTCTTCTCAGAGGATGGAGTTAGCCCAGGAGTCCAGCTGGCCTTTGCCTCCATGCTGGGAGAAACTGCTGAACCACAATCTTCAGAGGAGGAGGAGGAGGAGGAAGAGCAGGACAGCCTGAGCTATGTTGATGATGCACATGATAAGGATTACATTGCAGACAAAGAAGAGTTGCAGGCAGAGGAGATAGGGAAGAGGCCAAGACAAGTGGGGAGACAACAGGGAAAGAAGAGTGAAGCTAAAGAAATGGCAGAAGATGTGACTGTAGGAGATGTGTTTGCACTGGAGATGGAGCTGAATCGAGAAAACAAGAAGATGATGAAGGTGAGACGGGCGAACGGTCAGGCCTAGGTGAGTTTTTGCAGTTCTTAGTTAATATATAACTATGTGAACAGGGGCGTCGTCATGGCAGCAAGCTGCCCCGGGCTCTGAGAGGCTTGATGGGAGAAGCCAACATTCGCTATGCAAGAGGAGAGAAAGAGGACGCCATCCTGATGTGTATGGAGATCATAAGACAGGGTACGAAGTGGGTTTGCGTGACCTTACAGGCATATATTCACTCGCTGTTTGTGTCGACACTAACTTTGGTTTGTCTGTGTGCCAGTTAGTGTTCAAACACTATGAAAAGTTAAAAACAAAATCTCTTCTCCCTTTGTCCCTCAGCTCCTCTGGCATATGAGCCTTTCTCCACGTTGGCTATGATCTACGAGGATGAAGAGGACATGAGCAAAGCGCTGCAGTTTGGCCTGATCGCCGCCCACCTCAACCCCTCGGACTGCGAGGAGTGGATCAGACTGGCTGAAATGTCTCTGGAGCAGGACAACATCCAGCAAGCCATCATCTGCTACAGCAAAGGTCAGTCTGACACGGACCGGCACGCATCACTTCCCACTGGAACCTCACATCTGTTTATTGTCTGTTGGTGGACCTGTTGAACAACGCAGTCCCTACCTGTTGTGTTAAAGTGGATGTTCATTACTGCAGGGCCAGTACTTCAGTCCCATGGTCCTATGGCTATATTTATGCTGCAGTAATAAGCCCTGTAATTTCCTCAGTCTGTAGTCGGGGTGATTGCTGCAGCATATTTAAAACTCTCAGACTGGATTTACTTAGTGGGATAAATATTGGAAGAGCCATGCAAAGTAACAAATCAGCTGAGGGGCTGAGAAATGAACTAATAAAAGTAACACACATCAAGTGTGTTTGTCTCTGCAGTTTCTGATCAAACAGCACAAGAACAATGGATTTTCTGATGTAAGAGCAAAGTCAGAAGGTGTCAGGGATTGTGTGGGGTCTTAAATGTGGGACAGGTGTTCCTCTGGACGAGTCCTGCGTACCGCTTAAGCTGTCGAATCTATCCAGAGACGAGCTGTTTTAGTGCAGACGAGTCCAACGTGTAAATCTGAAACGTGTCTGTGAACTTTGTACAACAGAAAACAGTCAAGTCCTGACAAATCTGCGGTTTAAAAATGACTGCTCCTGCGCCTTCTATCGTTGGTGCTTCTCATACCGTTGAATTGTGGAATATGAGCCACCAGTGCAAAACAAACAGGGACCAGGGAAACGCTGGTTATCATTTATATACTGCTCTAGGTTCAAGCCTTGCTCCATTTCCACAGCTATCAAGTACGATCCTACCAATGTGCGCTATCTGTGGGAGCGCTGCAGCCTGCAGATGCGCCTGGGAGAGCACAAACAGTGCATGGACGGCTACCGCAGGATCCTGTCACTTCTGCCGCTGGAGGATGGAGAGCACTTCATACAGCTCTCCAAAGACATGGCCAAGTAAGGGACACACACTGACATGTGTTTTTATATACACATAAACTATGTTCTCGTTTTGCCCCTAAAATACCGTCACCTCAAACCATCTGATCTTGGATCATCACCCTGACAGTTCAGTTATCGGTATTTGCTTGTGTGGGTCGTGTTTAGGAGTTACTATGAAAGCAGTGACCTGCCCTCAGCTCTGAGTGTGATTGAGGAAGCTTTGGCACGACACCCCGACCTGGTCAGTGACGACTTTATCAACATGGCCGCTGAGCTTTATATCACCAACCGGCAGTACAACAAGGCCCTGCAGGTGGGTCTCTGTGGAAAAACCTTTACTGCCGTTTAGACTGAGAACAAATGTTGTCGGTTTAAATGGATAAACATTCCACGTGTTTGCTCTCCTAGGTCTTGGTGCAGTTTGTAGGCATCGTTTTGGTCAGAAGTGAATCCACTTCAGATGTTATTCCACCAACACAAGAAGAGAAGATTAAAGAGGAGAGCACCGAAGACCAGGAGAAGCAACCTGCAGACGGGACACAGAAGGAAGAACAAGCTGCAGCAGAGGAGAGCGGTAAGTTGCAACGACACGAGGCGCTACACATTTACATCCTTACAAGAGGATTCAAACTCATCGTGGCTGTTCTTCATCATATGAAGAACTCTCATAGCCTTCATGACGTCTTATAGGAAGTGCAGAAAGATGAGGACACAAAGTGAGCGTTCGTTGTGGCTTCTTTAGTGGTGCCTCTGTGACTACGTTTGCATAAACAGGATGTGTTTAGATGTTGTTTTTCAAAATGTTTTCCACACTCGAGCGCTCAGTGATCTCAAAAGACACTTCAACAGATGCATGCAGCGATCGCTTTATATCAGCAAAATCACCTGTAACTCGTGATTGTGTGTTTAACACTTGCAACATACTCGATAACATTTCTTATATTCAGAATTATTTAATGAGTATTTCATGTCCACGCACAGAAAATCCAGACATTAAAACATTTCTTTACTCAAACTTTTTGTTCCACATATTAAACAAACGTATGCTTTCATTTTATCTTTGATTGAGAATAAAGGTGATTTACTGTTAACACAAATAGATAAACTCTGTTTAGCACATCTATCATTTTAACATGAGGCTGGATGCTACCTTTGGCAGCAATCCTGCTGAGACACGTTGGCATGACTTCAAATAGGATATTGAGTCTCAAAACCCTCTAAGTAGAGTGGGCCAAACATCCTCCAATGACGTGAAAGAATCATTGCCTGAGTCTTTGGGGAACTCTTTTTACTGATTGGTCGTTGTGTGCTGTTTCCAGGTGAAATTGTGGATGTACAGGTACCAGACAGCGTCCCAGTGGACCTGAGGACCAAGTTAATTGTGTGCTTCATACACCTACATGTCTACGCACCCACCGAGGTAAAACAGGACTCAAAAACATACAGAGCTCAGATTATTAATGAAGTCTTTATGAAAAGATCATTTCATTTTAGAATCTTCTTGCTTATAGGGCTTGGTTTCAACACTGATGGAGCAGAGTCCAGAAGAGATCGGCGACTTGTACCTGGATGTCGGTGAAGCGTATCTGGAAGAGGGCAAGTACATGTCTGCTCTGCCTCTGCTGACTGCCCTCGTCGTATCTGAAAAGTACAACCTGGCTGTTGTTTGGTTGCGGCATGCAGGTAGGTCCAGCAAAAAGGGAATGATGTTAAAGGAAGAGGTGCGTCTGCAAACTTAGACTAAAAAGACATTTCACCTTCCATCCCGAATATTCTTCATGTGTGAAACTGTAACAACAGAGAAGCCAAGACCTTAAACGAGGTCTGACTTCAGGTCTGGCTTGGAAAAAGAAAACCACTGTTATGTGTCTTTGTCACTTTCCTTTGTCATCTGCAGAGTGTCTGAAGGCTTTGGGCCACATGGAGGCAGCAGCAGAAAGCTACACCAAGGTGGTGGAGATGGCTCCGCAGCACCTAGAGGCCCGGCTCTCCCTCGCCACACTGCAGCAACAGTTGGGCCGCATGGATTGTGCCCTTAAGGCGCTGGAGTCCATGTATGATAGCAACATACTAGCACACGATTCTTCAGCCGCACAAAAGGCAGGGGATCTTTGTTTTTGCTTTTTGCATTATCACGTTAGGTTGCATTATCTTACATTTACAATGTTCCTGAAATGTCATGGAGGTTTTTAGAGGTCTTTTTCATGGACATTTTCTGGTAACACCAAAGGGGAAAAGGAGTGCAAACCTCTGCTCTGTCAGGAGCACTGACAGTCACAGCGTATAAAGGGGCATCCCCACTGAAGCTGTAATCAGCAACCCAGTGACCAGAGACCACGGAAAGTGGATGTATTTGGGAACTTCAAGCAACAATGGGTGAGATAGTGTAGTGATGTGAAGTGGGTGGGTGCCACTTTTGGCTTCTCTCAGCGTAGACGTGAGCCGTTGAAGTGATTAGGTGTGGAGAGCACAATAGTGAGTTGGATTTGGAGCCCGGCGAGTCTGGTAGCAACCAGTTAGTTACCAACTGTTAGTGGTAATATGATGCAGAGTGAGCAAACGACTTCCTGCCCACATCCCTCATTGCTTCATTGTTTAATGCACGACTCCTCAGAGCTTACAGTGTAATCATGCGTGTTTGACCCACAGCAGTTTACCTGCTTTCATAGTTTACTTGGATTCTGGTTAAACACAAGATTTCTGTGCTTTCCAGACCTGAGCTGAGATTAGAGTCAAGAACACGTAGTCTGGTTACCAGCTGGAAAAAGGAAAACCATCACCTGCAGCATTTGGGGATGCTATGCTGTTTGGTCAGTGCTCTGTGTTTGGTAACTGGTTTTGTAAATCTCTGTGTTTGTAGGAGTTAAAGCTTTTGCTCCATCGCTCTACGCTCCTGAAGACCCAGGGGAAAATGCAGGACTACCTGGACACTGTGATCACCATGATCTCGATGCTGCTCAAGGTAACACACTTTACGGTTGCTTTTTACCCGTCAGCCGCTCATGATGGGGGGTCGTCGTCACCCTGCTGGACGGGCAGCATGAATAAGTTTGTGAATGTGAGAACTCTAAAACGAAGCTACATTGGAGTTTCAGATTGATGCAATAGGAGGCTGAGAGACGGCCACCACAAATATTCTGTTTTTATTCATACTGCGGCTATAAAGAGTGCGTTTTCCTCTCTGATAGAGTCAAAGGAGTTGGTACAACTGTTCCACATATAGAATACACTACGTTTGACCTCAGCTCTGCAGTCTAGCCAAGTGTCAGTGAAATCAAAGAGGGAATGATCTTAGAAGTTTTGAAAAAATGCAGAACTACTTGGATGCTTTGAATTTAGGAGGACCGTTCGGCTGCTTCGGCTGGATCAGAGCTAATCTGCCTGACACGTAAATGATGTTAACTAGTTCGCATTAGCAGCTGGGTTATTGCATTAATATTTCATAATTCAGTAAACAGGGCGGCACGGTGGTTAGCGCTGCTGCTGCTGCACAGCAAGAAGGGCCTGAGTTCATTCCACCATCAGGTCCTTCTGTGTTTGTGGGTTCAGTCCAAACACATGCAGTATGTGGGGACAGGTTCATTGATTATTCTAAATTGCCCACAGGTGTGAATGTGAGTGCGGACGATTGTCTGTCTCTGAGCCCTGCGACAGACTGGCGCCCTGTGCAGGATGTGCCCCGCCTCTCGCCCTGTGACAGCTGGGATCAATAAGTAAATATATACTAGACCAACAATATTAATGCACTTACCAGGAGAACTGTGACTGCTCTCAGTCTGTCAGTGATATTGACACAAGTACAAATGGCTAACAGTGTAAACACAACTTTAGTGGAAGTTCAGTTTGTTGTTCTTCATATGTAGGGATGGGTACCGGTGTCGGATAAAACCTAAACGATACCCATCCCTATTCATATGTAATTGTTTGGTTTTTCTTAACAAACATTTTTATCATTCAAGTTATTTTGTACCCGACAGGGAAAAAGGACAAACACCTCAAAGTTGATAAGACGGGCTTTTTACTGTAGTTTGTTTACTGAGAGTTCTCCTCAACAATGAGGTTACTGTGAGAGAAGGTGAATCTGAACAAATAAATGCTCCATTTTTTGTTTTTGTTGCGCACATTTCATTGCGTCCTGGGAGTCATCCAAAGGTGCATAACGCATGCATGTTTATAGGTGGCCATGCAGCGAGCCAAGGTGTGTGTGAGCTCTGTAAACGTGTCAGGTGAGAATCACCTGAGGCTCGTGAAGGTCGAAGACATGCTACCAGAGATTGCTGACCATGAAACGGCCTATCTGGACAACACTGGTATGTTATCTTTGTCTGCATCGTACTTGGCTACAAGCTAGAGCCCGTAGTTGGTCTGGTCACTGGATTTCACTTTGTCACTGTCATCAGGTAAAACCAACGTCCTGTCCAAAGAGGACTGGTGGCAGCTGCTGCTGAGCTGTGTGCTGACGCTGTGTGAGGTGCAGCGCTTCCAGGAGGCGGAGATGCTTGTGGATTCGGCCATGGAGTTCTACTCGTTCTATGACAACAAGCCCAGGAGGAAAGAACTGGAGTTCATTGGCCTGTCTGCCACAATCCTGGACCACAACTATTACAAGGCCTACAACTACATCAGGTAGTTAATATGGGCGTGGCCTGGCATAAAGAGCATGCCGCAATTATAATAAATATAACATTTCTCTGTTTTTCCTCTCAACAGACTGATGCTGTTGGAAAATGTGGCTCTGCCTCAGCTTTGGAATATTTTTAACCAGGTCTGCTTGTGTACAGTCAGCAGAATAGAAGATCACTAAAGGAGAAACTGGCCCAACTATTTGACTAAACTCTTTTCTTTCTAGGAGTTAAAGCGGCACATTTGTGAGGACAAACTTTTAAATATATTTTCAAAGTATTTGTTTGTATTCAGGAAATGCGTCACTACACTTAACGAGAAGCAGGAAAGTTTGTCCTCATGAAATGTGCCTGCTTTCTTCTGAAACGACCACTTATCTTGAATTTTGACTCTTTCATTTTTACCGTCGTTGATTTATTTATTAACCAGAGAGCCTCTGATGCATTGTCATAGTCTGTATGAAGATTTGCTGCTAATACTAAATATTCAAATGAATCAAAAGCATAGATTTCCTGAAATTGGTGGAAAGATTTTGTAAACAAATGTTTGTTTGTTTAACTCTCTGCAGCTGACAATAACGTCACAGCACCAGCGCCACCATCGCTTCTGTCTGCGCATGCTGTTTAAACATCCTGACAATCACGCCCTCTGTGTTCTCTGCGGACATAACGCCATGGTGTCAGGGAGCTTCAAACATGCTCTTGGTACTCGCACACGAATCGACTAACTAGAGATGATAAAAACATTTAACATCACTACCGTACTTCAGCATATCTTACATGATTGATTTTAGACCACTTTGGAGTGTGACGACCATCACAGCATCAGCGCTATAATCAGGGACCGCGTCATGTTGTTGTCATTTTAGGAGGAACATGTGATCTGCCACTGATGTGCACCAGCATTTTAAAGGAGCCCTTCCTTTGCTTACGCCACACCTCTCAAACTAATGTCATCAAGTTTTGCTTATTAGCTCGTTCTTGATTGCAGATGTCGATGATCACATACCTCCAACACTGCTTTGCATTGAAAGAGAATTATGTGAATTAAAATGTGTTTTATAACAATATCCAAGCAACTGGACACATATTGGTAAAGTAACATTGCTTAAAATGATATAAAACACTAAAAAGATGCTTTGAGTGCCAAAGAGATTTGATCCCAACATTTAAATAAATAATTAACAGTCCAGCAGTTTTGTCTCCGTTAAATCTCGTAAGTTGTTGAAATACAGCTCGTTCCAAATTCTTATGATATTTTTCTGTTTTTCCTACATAGTCGATTTAAATGACAGTCGGCATAATTTTCGAGTCGTCAGCCATTAGAGTATAATTCAAATGTTACTGAACTAAACTCCCGATGAAAGTTTCAAAAGATTTTACAGGTTGCAGAGAATTGAAAATGGTGATTTGTTGAATTTGCAGCATTAGTG